TATTGCATAACTTGCCTTTTTTAGGTGTTGTGTCACATGTAACAGGCTCAAATCCTTCATAATTGCGATTTATGTATTGTGCACAACAGGTCATCGTAATACCAGTTTTCTGAGGTTTACAGCATATTATTATGAACAAACCAACGGAAGTAAGTGCAATAATTCCAAGTATCACTGCAAGTGAAATTAACACAGCTATCAAGTGTTTAATGGTTTCATTAAGGTAGCTTACAGCCATCAGCAACGTTGGCTCTACAGCATTCCCACTGGGAAGAGTTCCAAATCCCTTCTGTGGTCCAGTGGTGGTGTTGTGGGTACTGCTTGAGATGATTTGAGTTGAATGTATTTCTTCCTTGGCCACATTTGAAGTAGATTCTACATTTTCTCTTTGTATGGCCTGCAGCACCTCTGTTGTAACTCTTGTTCTCGTTAACTTGGATACTATGACCTGTAAACCCTGTTTTTTTAGTTGGTCTGAGTTGTTACCTGAAGAAAGGTCATGGAGTGGCATTGGCACAGGAGGTGTCACTCTTTTAGGCATTCGCACACTTTGAGAATTTGAAGCATCTACTTGTTGAGGGTTGCGTTCCCCACTTTCCATTTCTTTGGTGCAGTTTTTTCTCAAGCATCGCCTCAGATAAAAGCATTCCACCTCAGCAAAGCGTTTTATTGCACAGCAAGTTGAGCATTTTTTACAAGAGTCAACTGTGTAGCCCCATTGGTAGGTTCCACGAGGACAGCCTCCGCAGTGTGCATTTGTCTCTGATGTACATGGGCTAGTGGTCTCTCTCGGGTGACATGTCCTGCAGGCTTTACATGCTGCACTACCATGTCTCTCTTTAAAACTTTGGGATGGACATGTCGTACAGGTTATTGAGGCAGCATTTTGCTGTAATTTACTGCCACATGGTGGAGTTAGTTGGTGACCTGGGGCACAGTCTGGGCAAAGCTGACATCCGATTGTCGTATTTTGGTGACCAAGAATAGTGTATGATGAAGTTGGACATGTTCCATCAGGATTGTTATTAGCTTGGGGCAATTCCGGTAGAATAAACAACTGTGCGAGAAGAAAATGAGATGTTAAAGCACTTGCATAGCCTGTATACAGCCATCCCCTTCCCCAAATTTTAACTTTGGGGAGGGGGTCTGGCTGTACATTGGCTACTACTGAAATATTAAGGGAGTTCATTTGTTATCTGCAATCTACCCTGCACTCCCCTCGTAACTTATCCCAAAAATGGCTGCAATCTAAATTCGTTAATTTATCCGTGCATTTTGAAAAATCAGTGAAAATTTCAGGCCCAAATCTCTTAGAACTGCCTTAGAATCGCCATGTGAATCGTTATTCTCCCCTATAGTCACACTTGGATCACCTAGTACATACAAATATTTGTCCACTAAGACCTTTCGGCCCAAAACCCCTGTTTACACGCTCGCGTACTCGCTAGAAGCACGTGATTATTAGATTCAAACAACAAAGTTAAAACCCAGGTATAAATATGGGTGTTTTTGGGCACCAAACCATACAGATAGCGAAATCAGAAGTCGCTAGAAAGTCACTAAATCAAACTTAAATAATGTCAAGAAAATGGCGATTTAAATCCTATATATATATATATATATATATATATATATATATATATATATATATATATATAACTAACTGCAGACAGTACTGTTTCAGCCTTCTGGGCCTCATCAGTGCAGTGCTGATGCTAGGATGGAGGTAAGGCTATATAGCCACCCCAAGTGATCTCACACATGTGGTATCATCTAAGCCATGCCAGAGTGCTCAAACTAGAAAACCTAGTGAGCATGCATAATATATATATATATAGGATAAAAATTTCAGTGATGGCGTGACACCAAAAACTACGCATGTGATAATAGGAATACAATTAAAACTTTCAAGTTCTGCGCTTAATGTTCTTGGAAATTGTAACTCATCACTTACATTGCAATTGATTAGAGTGAGGAAGATGGCTGAGATGATTAGCAGAATTATTTTCTGGATCCTAGTCGGCCAGAGACTAGATAGTGTCTTTCTAATCACATTTGCAGGATCTCCTTTGAGGTCTATCTTTCTTGAACATAAAGGGAGTACCGAAGCCTGTAATCAGAAAAGAACGAAATTGCTTAAAAAATTCGGAAATATGCAATTTACTTTATCTTAACTACCTATACCTTTTCTAAACGGGTAAACTGCGAAGTAACTGTGATCCGTATTTGATCCTCTATTTCGAGCTGTTAATCTTTAGGAAAAAATTTTATCCCCTTGTTTTTCGAGAAATCTTCCATGTATGTAAGTAATACAAGGTATAATGTCGTATCAATATTATTATTAGTGAATGACTGACAAAACACGTAAACTCGAACTGTAATTTCATTGATCATGATGTTCCTATGTTTGCACAGCATTGAGAATAGTATACAAATTCTTATCCTCGATGTTCGTTCAAGTCTTAAAATAGTATTATTTCATCCTGTCATTTAAAAGTTGATTTGAGCCCTTTCCAGTTATTTTTCAAACGGGCGTTTTAGATAACCTAAATGGTTAGTCATCGGCAATAGGTACCTAAAATCGAGATACATCGTAGAGTCGTCGATAAACAGTATAAGTGACGTCCAAATCTTCTAGTTTAGCCACCTAAGCTTTCATCGTAGATTAATACCTTATGATGTCTTCCCATCTTTGTTGTGTACTGAAAATGATCCCGGATTCTCTATGAAAACTAGAAAGGTTTCCTGAGATACATTCACCGAGTGCTTCGACAGAAAGGAATCGAAACTAGAGCCAGTTCCTCGAAACTGACCTGGCCTGGGCCGAAGTGAAGTGAAAATCTACTTATTACTTGGGCTTCCTGTGGAAAACCCCACATTTAAAATTCGGTCGTTTACATCTGCGCAGGCCCAGGTTTTCAGGCTCCTAGGAAGGATTTGTGGTTACTTGGCAAAACCCAAAATTGATTTTTTATGTTCTTGAAAATTTGATATCATTTCTCCTTGAAATGCGGTGTTTGATAGGACAATGATATCAATTGTTTTTATCAAAACTTGCGTCTCGCGGTACGTCGCTCATTAAAATTTGCGTTGCAACGCGACGTTTGCAGAGTGTTCGCCTACTTGCAATTAAAAAAGAACCTCTTAATCTTCTGTCTCGAAACGACAAACCTCGGAGATATTTTATTTTTGTAAAAAAAAAGCTTTCAAATATCCACAGAATCAGTTACTTACAAGATCATAGTGCCGTTACTCGTTACTGCGTTACTTTGTTTAAAAACACCCACATCACAGAGGGAAGTCCAAGGGAAGGCCACTGTGGCCTCTTGTTTATCTATTATTTACTGTTTCTATTTGTCTTTTATTTTTGATGGACGTGAAATACAGAAAACAATACATTTGTTCGGATGGTTTGTCACGCAAACTAAGGCTACTAGTTGAAATATATAATTAATATTATCATTGCCATTTTCTTTATCATTATCATTGTAAACGTTATTGTCATTATCGTTTCAATAATCAACAATCCTCTTTTAATTTCGGTTTATTCTTGTCTCTTGAGTGATTGTTTACTTTGAAAATTTTGTCATCTCAAGTACATTCTGTGCTAATCAGTGGTGTGAGAAAAAAAGGTAAAAGGAGGCCCTTTAAGATTCTTGGGTGTCATATTACTTTGACGATTAGTGTCCCCTTATTGCTAGCGAATGACCGGTTTTCATACAATGGTATTCTTAATATTACAAGTATTAAACGAAATTTATACTCTGATGTAGCTCATTATATCATTCACTGAAAGCATCTCTGAGACCCAATTACTTTGGGCTCCAAGGTCATCTTGCCGAAAGATTTCAGTGTCCTTTGACTGCTTTCTATGTTTTGCGGTTAAGTATTGTTGACGAGATACCTCATTCTTCTTAACCTGCTGCGAGGAACATATAAGACCTCTACTTAAACAATTTCGCATCTATTTTACCAGTTTAAACTCAAAACTTGTACAGTTGTAATCCTGGGAATAAGATAAATATATAAATATAATGTTTGTGTTTCATGCTTTTAATTAAATTTGATGTAATTTTTTCCTTCAAGTGACTAGAGACAACCCGAACAAACACCACTTTCTTATCAAGCAAGAAAGAATTAGAAAGAATAGGATACAGTCCTGCAATTTCCCTGAATTAATCTTCATGAATATGAAATAGGTTAATGAACGAGCCTTGTATACTCTAAGGATTTCAATTTTAACAAGGCAAACCACAAATCTGCCGGTTCTTCGGGAGACCTTCTTTTAACTTGATGATAATCCTTTTAAATCCCCTTTGATA